TATTCATACAAGGTGTCCAATCCCCTACTCCCTTGCCTAGAACAACCTCTTGCCTCATCTGTACTTCTCAGAATCCTTTTATTTAGCTACCATTTATGTTGTACAGCCTGTTCTGTTTTTCCCAGGTGTTAATGCTCTTTTCTTCCTCAGACTACTTTGCATTATTCTTATCTGCACATGTGTTATGTACTCCTGATAGAAAGAATGGAAACTCTTAGAGGATAGGTACTGTTTCATTTTTGTTCTGCTATCTCCACAACTAGCACAGTGTCTTGCTAGTAAAAGTAACTACTTGGGATCACAAAATCTATGATTTAGAGTTGCAAGTCCCTTCAGAGTCATCTAATCCAATCCCATCATTTTACAGATGAAGAAACTGAGGCCCAAAAGGATTAGTGGCTTGCCCAAGGTTACAGAAGTATTAAGTGACAGAGATGGGATTTGAACCCAAATACTGTGCTCTAAATCCAGTTTCCTTTCCACCATATTAAGCTGCCTCTAAGAAACTCATTAAGAAAAAGCAGTAAAAATGTGAAGCTCTATAAATATGCCTGTATTTTTGTAAACCTCTCATTCCATATACTTCAAACCTTTCCCTCTCTCAGGAGCCCACTCACCACATTTAAAACAGACAAAGAAGCCCACAATTTCATGGGGAAAAACTAGAATGACTCTTAACTTTCCTCAATATATACTTAGAATTTCTCAGCATCTTCACTCATTTTCTCCTCTGTCAATCCTATCTTGGAGGATGAAGGGTCTCTACTCCTTGTCAAGGCCAGGTCTTCTATCTGTCCTTCCCCTCCTTTTCCAGTACCTTCCATGTTCCATTAATTATCACCTCTCTCTTATGCATTTTTAATCTTTCCTTCTCCACTGACTGCTTTTCATCAGCCTATAGAGTTATGTATTCGGGTCTCTTTAATCCTAAAAAAAAAAGCCTTCCCTCCACCTGTCACTGTCATACATTTAGAAATGTAGGCTATGCCAAATGTTTTCAATTCCTCTCTACCTAATTTTCAACTATTTGCAGTCTAGTGTCCATCCCAACTACTCTAGTGAAACTATTTTTTCAAAAATAGCTAATAGGTAGGTAGGTAGATAGGTAGATAGACACAAATATAGATAGACAGACAAAAAGAAAAAAAAGAAAGGAAGGAAGGAAGGAAAGCAGGAAAGAAGGAAGGAAGGAAGAAGGAAGGAAGGAAAGAAGGAAGAAAGGAAGGAAGAAAAAAAAAGGAAGATAAAGATAGGTAGAATATTTATAGGTTACTATGTGTCAGGTACTTTACTAAGCTTATAGCATCACTGAATCTAGTTGGTTTTCCTGAATCCTCACCCTCCTTGACTTATCTTTAGCTTTTGACACTACTGACTGCTAGGGACTGTTTAATAAAGTGGATGAAGCTGCATTACATGTCAAGTTGATGCTTGTGCTTATTTGATAGGAATTGCTCCAAGGAAGCAGACTAACAGGATGAAGCTTTTCTTGCATGGATTTTCAGTGTCAATCAGGAGGACAGGAGACATATCAACTTGGCCACAGGATGATTTCAGGACCTCAAACCCTATACAAGCCACTAGATGTGTGTACAGGGATCTTGACAGTCAACATAAAATGCAGACTCATTTCAGCTAGGTCCTAGGCATCCCTCCCCTGGAGAAATTATGGGATTTATTAGAAAAAAGGAACAAAATAACCGTTAGGAGCTGATGGCTGTAAGCATGTGGGAAAGAAGCTACAAGGAAAAATTCAGGAACAAGCGGGAGGGACAATGGAGTTATAAAGAGTCATATGAAATCTCTCTTCAACAAAGTAGCCTGGAGTATGTCTATGCCATACAAGTTGCAGCAGAGGAAAGACCAAGATTAAAATGTGCCTTCAAGGGCTGCTCTGATTACCCTTCCAGATACTGTCTTCTCCCTTGGCTTCAGAGATGCCATGCTCTCTTGGTTCCTTTTTTTCTGCTTCCTTCGCTGACTCTTCTTTCTCCCTCTAGACCCTAAATGTTAATTTTCTATAAAGTTTTTCTTTGGCCCTCTTCTTTTCTCTCTCTTTATTTTCTCCTTTAGCAACTTCAGTCTCCCACAGTGCCACCAATATGGATATGACTCCCAAATCTATTATTTTCAATCCATACTAAAAGCTCCAAGAACATATAATCCATGTCTCATCTAAGCATTTCTTTCTCTCAGCACCAAGCATAGGTCTACACAAAGTGGGCACTTAATAAATGTTTTCTAAATGAATATTAAATCAAACTATAAATGGAAAACAGCACATTTCTATCTATGAATAGATTCTACAGTTAGAACTAGATACACAGAGTATCATAAAGTAGTTAACAATTAAGGTTGGCTGAATTACATCAATTTGTATTACCCAAGTATCTTGGTAATATGAGACAAAATCATTTTTACCAATTGAGCTTTATTATCTTGTAATTTAAGACAAGTTAAAGAAATCCATAAGGAGCATAAACAAGCAGTCATTTATAGAGAAATTCTATTTGCTTCACTAA